TCAGTGTCACTAATGACATTTGAATGACACTCGCCCCCCTCGCCCTCCTCGCCCCTCTGCACTCCTCTGTACTCCAGACAGCTGCTGCTGCTGCTGCTGCTGCTGTGGCTATGGAGCATCGCCCAGTCAGTCAACCAAAGGTGGCTAATGACCCGAACCCAAACTGGAGCTGGCTTCCTCCTCTCCCTCTCTGTCTGCCTCTCTCCGATGGTTGATGACGCGATGGCGATGGAGATGGCGGCGCCTCCAGTGGCAAATAGATAAGCGATTTGTGCCTTTTCGGAACTTTACTTTGGGACAAGCTGTGGAACGTGTCCCATCTTAAAATTGGTCTCTTGGGTCTCTTTGTCGACCCAGAACTATCACCGCCGGGATGGGGGCATATACATGCCTTAAAAACCTACCTACCCATCGATTCAGCTTCCGGTGAACTCCTAACTGAATATTTCAGAATTTACTTGTCGAAAAACCCAGCATTTCCGAGCCAAATCGGTTACGGTTGTAATATAGACCTTCCGCGTTTCTTACGGATTTATTCGCGCGGTTTTCCCGTGCTCCTCTACCAATACAAATACTCGAGTACTCGTATACTCAGCATTTGCTGGATTTATGCCAAAGCGAAGACAGCCATCCAGCCAGCCACGCCCAGCGACGTGTCCTGCCCTGCCGTACCGCCGTTCACCGTCTCAATCCTCTGCAGTGGCCCTAATGTTGTTCCAAGGTGTAAAACGCAAAGTAATGGCTTTGAATATGCCTGCTAAGGAGATGCCAGAAGGCAGCCCGGGCAATGAGGTGGCATCGACCCTGGCATACCCTGTAGTTGGCTTACTTTGTTGTGGTATCAAGGGGGTAGAGGGCCCCGCCCCCCCCCCCCCCCCCCCCCTTGCCAGCCCTGCAATTACAAACTAATCCTTCTGTTTCTGTGCAGTTTTCACTCAATTAGAGCCCAGATGCAATCCTCCTAATTGGCTGCCAATCTGCAGAGTATATAAACTTCGTTTACATGGCTTTTTATCTGCCACGACTGGATGGATGGCTGCTTTTCCCATGGTCTGGGGTGGAGGGGGGCGTGGGGTGGGGTGTGGGGTGGACTTTTGTCTGGCACTCAAGTGAAAAGCTTTTGTCGGCGCATGGAAATTTGACGGAAATTGTTTGGTCTGATGGATGCTGCAGATGCAGATTGAGATCCAGCAGTGGAGAGGGAGGGGAGATGCTGCAGGTTGCAATTGCTGTTGCCACTGTTTCAGCATCCTGCCTTCTGCCTCCTGCCTCCTGCCTCCTGGTGTTGTCTTTCTTGTACCTTTGCCTAATGGTGCCCCCTCCCCCTGGGTTGTGGCAATCCTTCAGCTAAGTAAACGGACAGTTTTTAGCATTATGGTCAGTAAAAGGCCATAAACTGGCCTCCGCCTGGCAGCAGCACAGGACCTGTCCCCAGAATGCCAATTTCAGTAGAATTTAAAGTTAATTCTGCTTCATTTTCATCGTGGAGGATGTTCCTGGCGGAGGCAGCAGAGATTATGCCAAGCGAAATAAATGCAAATCGCATTAGAATAAATTTTACTGTCAAGCGTCCTTCTCGTCCTGCTCGTCCTGCTCGTCCTTCTCGTCCTGGCTCTTGTCCTGGTTTTCGGTGTTCCGTGTTCGGTTTTCGGCTTTCGTCCTAGCCCAAGACTGGGACTGTGACTGCAGGATAATGTCCCTAAAATGGCCGGCCAGACGAAATCCTCAGCAGCGGAAAACTTTGGCGACAGGTAGTCCAGATATAGCCACGATGGAGCGTGGAGCGTGGAGCGTGGAGAGTGGAGCGTGCAGGTCCTGGAGCATCCCCTCCTCTCTAACGCTGAAGGAGCAATTGCCGCCCTGGAGAACACAATCAAAATCAAGTTGAACGTTGAACGTTGAACTTTTTAATGCATAATTTATTATGGGGCACGGTGCTCCTGCCCCTGCTGCTGCTTCTGCCGGGGGTTAATCGGAGAGTCACTAGTGGGTTAAAGCAACATTTTGTATTTTTTTGTTGATTTTACGCGTTACTTTTTATGGCCAACGCGAACCAAAAAATCAGTTAGAAGAATGAAAGAGAAAGCGAGAGACACAGAGCAGAAGAAGGAGAAAGAGAAGAAGAAAGAGAAGGAGAGATGCAGAGCAGATATTCCTGTGGCAAGCAGCATATCATAAATATTTATGAAGCATGCCCCGTGCCCCGTGCCCCGTGCCCCGTGCCCCGTGCCCCGTGCCCCGTGCCCCGCCACGCCCTCGAAACACGAAGTCTGGCCAAGCACGTACCCGTACGCAGTGGCACACCTCAATACCTCCTCCGTGGGGAGGATAGGGGGCGGGGGGGGGGGGGGATGTGGTGGCCATGGCTGCCATTTATGAAATTTATTTGGTTTCATCAAAAACTCATCTTAAATGCCAGCACACATGCGGCACATAAATATCGAGGAGAAATATTTATTTTCAATTGATTTGCGGCGCCCCAAGAGTGGGGGGGGGGGGGGGGGGAACTTGCAACGCCAGCCAGCTATCGATATTTATGAAAATTTAATGGGAGGGAATTGGGATTGTTTTCAGAGCGGGTCCCAAAGATACAATGCGACGGAATCGGTAGAGTACTTCTATGATCAGGTGAGATCGGGGGAGAGTCTTACAGTAAAAGGAGAAACCAGTTAAGACTCCAACGAGATCGTCTCGAACCGTCCGTTAGCACCTTCTGCTGCCCCTCTGGTCTTCGATTTAGAGTCTCCACAGAAATGATGATACGGAGCATCCATTGATTCGATGGAAGAGTGTCCTCCTTGAGCCCTACTTGCAGATCTCCCTTCATTGGGTTGCCATATCCCACTGTCCAAACGTTTTGTGGTTTTTCTGCCACTGCCAAAAAAAAGTTTCGCCCATGGCCCATCGCTTGATTTGCGTGTTTTGCTGCAACCAAATCGCCGCATGGCCAGCACCGTGCCCACAACTATCAATTAAACTAATTAGCTTGATTTCCCCAGATGGGGGAAAGGCGACCAGAAATCGAGAACAGAAAACCGACGAAACTGGGACACGCCCAAAACTTTCGCCTTGGCTGAAAAATTCAATCAGCGCGTGCAGAAAAACGCAATCAAATGATTAAGTCAACAAATGAAGGCAAATTGCTGGGGCCGACTGGGGCTGCCCCAGCCACTGGCCACACCCCAGCCCCTGGCCCTGCCCCTGCCCCTTCTACTGTTCCCCTGGACATTTGGGATGCACTGTGTGTGGCCGCGCGTAAATCGAAACCAGAAGGCAAAAAGTCACTCGCGTCCAATGAGGATGTTCCTTCGTCGTAAACTTTTGGGCCAACTTCTCCTCAGGGGGGGGGGGGGTTTCAGCTCTTCTTTTTGCCACGTTTTCCCCACCAGAGAATTTTAAGCAGGTGAAAAGCAGAACGGCAAAAAAAAAGTTTCCTTCTCCCTCCCTAATGAGTGCGGTGGCAGCTTCATTGATTAGTTGGGGGGTTTGCTTTCGGCCCAGACCGACTACCAGCTTTTTCTCGCCAGTCTATCGACCCGACCATCTTTTCCTGTTGGCCAACATATTTTCGCCATTTTTATGGCAACGTTTTTCTCCTCTACCCCCTCTTTTCATGGCTCCTGGCCTGGAGTCTGGTCCACATTCAAATTCAATTGACTGTAGCATCTATGGACGGGGCGTGGAACGTGCCACACACACACACACACGCACGCACACGCACACCAATACGAATATGAGTAGTGGATGTATGGATCCTCCTTCTAGGATATTTATTCCACTCTTCTACGCTTTTTTTTCGGTGCGATTGCCTGGCAGGAAATTTATTTATATTCAATTTGTGAATTTATGCCACTTTTTGCCAGCAATGGAAGCAGATGGAGGCAGCGGCGACACAGCCAGGACAGGGGGAAATTCACTTTGCTGCAGTTGCATAAACGTGAAAAAAGGCTCCAGCAGGCGGCTGTGCGAAAAGTGCACTGGGAGAAATTTCACCAACGCCAAGGTGAGGGGAGAGGCTTCTTTAAGGTGAAGAAGGGACTAAAAGGAGGTTCTGGAAGGTTGTCGGGCGAGTGAGCCTGGGGTTGGCGCACGAGCTAAGCGAGGAAGCAGGAAGCTTGCCCCTTAGTACTGTTATATTATGCAAAAAATAAGAGAAAATAGAGCGAATCAGGGAATGATTTCAAGGGTTAAAGGTCCCACTACTAAAGGTCTATGAAGGAAGTGTAGGAGAGCTCTGGATAAGTGCATAATTATGCTCTTTTGGGGATCCTTTGATTAGATGAAAGCCCAAGCAATGGCTATCAAAGGCTTGGCAAAGGGAAGAGTAAGTGTGGTGTCCATCCAGTGGGATTCCCATAGGAAGATTGGTCCCCAGACCCTAGTAGAGACCCGACTAATGCTTAAAGCCAGCAACTAGAAGCCATATGTCTTTCCCCAGAATCGATCCTATACCTATATCCACATCTGTGTACGTATGTGTGTGTGTGTGTGTGTGTGTATGGAGATCTTTAATTGTTTGTTCGAAGGAAAGTTACTGCTGTGGTCGCGTCGTGTTTACGGGTACAGCCAGCCACTGAGGCATCAACCGTTTGTGGCAGAGACTGCGCTGCTGTGCCGCTGCCTGACGGCTTGGACATTTTCCGCAAAATCATAAACACATTTGGCCGTCTGTCGCCTTCTTGGAGATGATTACCTAATCTGAAGGACTAGCCAAGTAGTAGGTACATGCTGTATATCCTGGAAGGTACAGTCCGAAAGACCCAAAAGAAAACCCACGGCCACGGCCAGGGGCAGGCCAGGGGGTGGGTGGTCTACCTAGGTAGTTAGGTAGAGGCCGCCGCATATATAGGCTCTGGCAGAAGGACGATCCCTCATTCAGTCGTCGTCTGTCAGCAGTGATTGTCAGCCAGCGCCAGCCATCGCAGCCATCGTAGTCGTAGAAGTCGTAGAAGTCGTAGTGTCTGTGATAGCTATAGACCCAGTGTGCCCAAGTGCTTAGGATGCTGTTCCTTGCGCCGCGCAAGCATCTGTTTGCCACCAACCTGATCATCCTGCTGATGATCTACGTGATGCGCAAGTGCCTGCAGCTCTTCTGCATCCTCGAGAACCGCACCGCTTGCCCGCAGTCCGACTGTGACTGCGACGAGCGGGACAGGGAGGAGAAGAAGGAGAAGGAGGAGGACTCCCCATTGATGGAGAGACGCGGCGGCTTCAAGTTCATACCCGATGCCATGCACAAGAGCATGCACGGCTTTGGCTATGGCGAGGGCCACTACCAGATCTTCGTGGAGAAGAAGGAGCGCAATCTGCCCACCCATTCGCGCCTCAATGCGGCCACAGCTGAAGTGAAGCTGAATCCCAATTAGAGGGCGATGCCCCCACCCCAATGTCCCCCCTCCACCAGAGAGAGAGGGACACTGACATCTCCTGGAGCCTCTGAAGGCCACAGGATGAAGTCAGGACAATGTGCCAATTGCCAGCCAGCCAGCAGCCACACCACCACAGCAGCCACACCACAACAGCCCCACCAACAATCAAATAATCAAATCCACCTCCAGACACACATCCACATTCATTTGTTCCTCTTCTTCCGCACAGCCTTTGATTAATCATTAAGCAGCAGATATGCCTATTTTTATAACCAAACAAAGCGCACTTTTGGCCATTAATAAAATTCATAAAAAATATACGAGAATTGTGGAAAAATCTGTGCCGGTGATTGATGCTCCCGGTTCTCAGCCTATTTATACGTATGATCTGCAACTTTTCTGCTTGCTTCCACTTGGAGACTGGGTCCAGGGGTCCCAGAGTCGAGTCCCGAGTGAAGAGTGCCGAGTCCTTGGGTTTGTCATGTCGCTGGCGGCGCCTGCTGCTGCTTGAAAAATTATCTCTCCAGCGTGGGAGGCTCTCTGATCGCGTGGGTGTTGCTGCAACATTAAATGGCATCGAATTTATCACAAAGTAGCAACAACAACAACGGCCACAGTGACGCACAAGGGTAGGGAGTGGCAGTGGCAAGACAGACAGAGCCGAGCAGCAGCAGAAGCAGCAACAATGTCAGGCAATATGCTCGAGTAATTTGCAAATACTCTTCACACGAAAGGAGCAACTTGTGTGGGGGCATAGCCCTTTTGAGGGGATTTCTGTGGCAAAGAAAATTCCAGAAACTATCAGCGCAAGCGAGGCGAGTGAGCCGGGGGTTGGTCCCTCCGAATTGGGTGGATTCTTAGAGGTGTTTTGTGACCCATATATATTGGGGATAGGTTTCAACGGAGGCCCACTTCTGGGGCTAAAAACCTTTGCTGTATGTATCTTATGCCCTCCCCCTGTTTGCCCTCTTTCACGTCCATCCAAAGCTCTTTCTCCATGGTGAGGGCATCCCCTGTTCGTTGTGGAGTCCCCCGTTGGGGCATCAGGCAGCAGCACTGCCATTGTTCGGCATTCGGCCGCGATAAGGAGGACAGAACTGGCTCAGCTTGAGCGCAGCAATTGTTCGCAAATCTATCATCATCATCTTCTTAAGCACGTGTCTGTAATGCGTGTGCTGGCTTCTCTCTCTCTCTCCCAGTCTCTCTCTGTCTCGCCCTGAAGGAGACAATGTGGGGCTCTGTGGGGGGGGCTGTGTGCAGCATTTTCTGCATTGCATTATAAATGAGGGGAAATTTTTAGTTGTAAGCTTGCATCATCACTTGAGCTGCATATAAATTATCCCAACCAAATCCAACCGCCCACATCCAGGGCCCCACCCCCCCGCTGCTCCTGCTGCCTTGCTGCTATCCCTAACGAGTTCGTTGTCATTATAATCGTGATTGTTATGGCTGTAATTCTAATTCCATATCTCTATAAACTCGTATGATGGCCGCAGGGGGTCTGGGCATGTGTGGTACGTGCTCCCCGTCCTCCTCCCACTCCTTGGTGGTGCTGTGGTGCTGCCTCGGCAGCTGTTGATGTGTAAAAATGAAATGTCAGTCGGATAAGCGCCCAAAGGCAACATCCTGGCATCCTCCGACTCGACACATGGCATCCTGGCCATAATGAGGTACAGAGCGTGGCGATGGCCATGGCTTCTCGTGTCTATGGGGGATATACATACATGCATATACTCGGGGATAGCCGGACCCCCCTCCTCCTGGGCCCCCTCCTCCTCATCCTCCTCCTCGTCTTATGCCCATTTCTGAACTAGTTTTGCCCGCATAAAACGTTAAGCTCTCATGTAAATCATGTCGCTATTGTTAGTGGAGCTCTCCCTCTCTTTCGCTCTCTCGCTGGACTCATTATAATTAACAATTTATAAAGCGTTAATCCACACACAGACACACACAGAAACTTGGCTCCCCGATCCTCCATCCCTCCGCCCTCCCTACCATTGGAGGTAATTTGCCAAGGCAGCCAAAAGAGCATGTTCAGCAACAGCTATAGGGAAAATCCAAGCCAAACAAACAAGTCAACAGAGTGGCAACAGAGGGGCCACGGAGGGGGCAACGGAGGGGAGGCAGGCAGCAAGGCATCGGCGGGTAGGGGCCGGGGGGTTGTGGGGGGGTTGAGTGTGAGTAAGCAGCATCCATTCGGTTGTAAGCTGCTTTCATTGCTCCTCCTGCTCCTCTTGCATCCCCCCCACCCGCACTAACTGCCATGTGCCCTGCCCCCGCTGCCCCTGCTGCCCCTCCTGCCCCTGCTGTGGCACGTCGCGCGCATTAAGAAGATGAGCTGCATTTTTCATGCATGTGAAGTTGAGATTGCAGCTGCTCCCTTGCAGCTCCCTTCGTTTCTCCCCTCCCCCTACCCCACCCCTCTCCCCCGGTTTTCAGTTGCAGTTGCCTTTCGCCGGCCCTTTCTTCTGCTGCCACTTCCCGTTGCGGCGGCATCCCGTGGCAGCTTCTTTTGCTGCAGCATCGCCATCGCCATCGCCATCCCCATCGCTGTCATCGTCCTCCCGCTGCTCATCAACGTCATTTGTATTAATTGCCCAAGCAGTTTGCTCTGCGCAATGATACCGAAAATAAGAGGCGACTCCATTGTGGTGGCTGCAATGTGGCAATGATGCCGCCGCACAAGTGTATTTTGTGTGCTGTGCATCCTCCTAGAAATGAGCGCACAAAACAGTCGACAAATGCTTGAAGGAAGCCACGAATTTTCGTGGTTTTCTTGATCCCAAATTGGTGGAAGAAAAGATCAAGATTTGGAGATTCGGAAGAATGTCGAGGGAATCGTTAAGGATTTCCCTTACTGCAACAGATGAATTCTTTTCGGAAGTCCTTGGCCTGGACTCTGCTTCTCTTGGAATTGCTTTCATTCTGTTCCCCTCTCTACCCTCCCCTCTTGGCGCCAATCGATGATGGAATTCTCCTCATATTACGAGCACAATGGACATGTCCTTTTCAGAAGATTTCCTCTCTGCAATTTCCAACTCAAATACTCTTTTAATTGTCATCCCCATCCCCATCCCCGTCCCCCCCGACATCAGTTTATATGGCATATTCTTGTTCAATTTCCCATTTTCCACATTCCCAATGCCATCAGCGTTTTTTTTTTTTTTTTTTTTTGTATTTTTTTTGCAGCCATCCTCCAATCTGCGAATGCATCCGCAAACAAATTGACAATTTTGCAGTTTGCCAAACAGTTTGACAGTCACTGGCTCAATGCTAGTTAAACCGCATCGAAACGACTTTTATGGACGTTCAATTAGTGGCTCAATCGGAGGGAGAGAGCGACGGAGCAGAGCAGAGCAGAGCAGAGCAGAGCATTCAATTGAATTTTATTGAGTCTTTAATTGATGCCTGCCATGATGGCATCGCAGCTGGGGGATTGCAGGAAACAATAGCAACAATTGCTGTGTCGCTTCCACCGAATTCCATTGCACACCCACGCGGATTCGTAGTCGCACAGCAGCGATGATAATTAGCAAACGAAAGCATCCCTGTTTTGGTAGGGAAAAATGGCATGTAAATGATTTACAAAATGACAGCAAATTGCCATCCCTTCTTCCTTGCTTGCTTCCTTCCTAAATGCCTGCCTGCCTGCTTGGTTGCCTGCCTCTCATTTTCCACCCATATCATCATTTGTGCTCGACAATTGCTTGAGGCGGCAGCAGCCCAAAAAACAAAGGAAACCATTTGAAAACCGTTCAGCACTGAATGCGAGGCAATTAAGCAGCGCTAATGAAGCGACTGACTGCCACCAAAACGAATTTCCCCAGCCTCCACCACCCCCGCCAGCCCCCACCAGCCGACAATGGCATCGACATTCCACAGTTTGATGCATTTAAACTGCATTTAAAATGCACAAAAACACACAGAAAGCCCCAACAAATGGGGCAAAACAGAGAAAACAAAAAAAAATCCAGAGGCAAAATACAGAATAAATTTTAATCAAATTGCCAAACGAGGCGGAGAGCGGAGAGCGGAGAGCGGAGCGGAGCAGATCTCGCATAATAAATAATAATAAATAAATATTCGAGTTTAAATCAACCGAAAATGAAGCAAAATAAAATCGTAACGAACAAGAAAACGAAAACGAATGCGAATGCGAATACGAATATGAATACGAAAATGAAATTATCAATTCCAGTAAATACAATAAAAATATCAATATAATATATAAATGTATTCCCATTGTGCGGAACACAAAACTGTATCCACAAATATGTATATTCCATTCATACGAGTGTATATTGAAACATACATATATTTTTAAGCGGATTTCCAAGTCGACAAATGTGTGGCCACAAAAAAGATACTCGATATCTGGCTCCAATTTGGGCTTTTGGGCTATAAACGAATACGAATTCGATTAAATAAAAACAAGCCGCAAAGTCCATCAATAAAAAACTATTAGAAATACATATACACACACATATACATGGCATATCAGACCAATTAAAAATTAAAATCAATTAAGTTGAGCAAATTTTCTTTTTCGAAATTCGTGCAGGATTTTCGGATGTTTGGACTTGTTTGGGCCTTGGGCCTTGGCCGCAGCTCGCAGCTTGGGTCCGTGCCGGACTGGACGGGCCAGCCAGGCGCCACATGCCTCACATTCCGCACTGTCTCTAGATAATGCGCATACGCCGTGTAGTCCGTCTGTCTGCTGGAGTCTGTTCCACAGGCCAAAACCAGCAAATGTTTATTACAAGCCACTCAATAAACTATCGAAGGCCTATAAATTCGAAGGGAGGGAGGGCATTGGTTGCCCAAACAATATAATCACATGTGAGGACACAGTGGCTGTCGGCAGTATGCAAACGGTGTCTGACTTCCATTCAGACATTCAGCCTAGGATCGAAACTACTGCGGGATACTGTGTGTGTGTGTGTGTGTGTGCTGGCGTGTGTGTGTGTGCAACTTTCAATTCGTTTGGCGACTCGTTT